CAACAGCTCAACAACAACGTAACAAGACCAAGCCTTTCTCGGAATGCTTTGCTTTGGCAACGATGTGAGTTCATAAAACCCAAACACCAACAACCATCACCGCCACTACAACCATCACTACTACAATAATGTGTGCCATTACCATGAAGCGAAAGTACGAGACCGCCACTACTACCACTACTAGCAGCACTGGAGCCCGCAAGATGCGTCGCATCGTCATGTCGAGTCTTCCCGATCGCATGTTGGCATCTAGCGCCCAAAGTAACAACGAATGCAGCCCCGACACTACCGTCGCCAAAACACTCGCACAAGAAGCTCCTCTTCAATCGTACGCTGACTGCGCCGATTTCTTTCATGCTCCCACTCAAGCCGAGATTGATGCCTACGACCACGAAGCATTGGCCGCCATTCGCACGCAAAACATGGACGTCCTTCGTCAATTCCACGCCACTGGTCGCCCATTAAAGTGCTCCAACAAGTTTGGAGAGTCGCTCCTCCACATGGCCTGTCGCAAAAACATGGTTGGCGTCACTGCCTTTTTGACACAAACGGCTAGTGTGCCATTTGCCGTTTGCGACGACTACGGTCGCACACCGCTACACGATGCCTGCTGGGCTCACACGACCAATTTTGAACTCATTGACTTGATCTTGACGGCATGTCCTGATTTGCTCTACATCAAGGACAAGCGTGGAAATACTCCTCTCTCGTACCTTCGCAAAGACAAATGGGCGTCCTGGAACAAGTACCTGGCCACCAAATCGGCCGACTTTTTGAAACCCAAACAGTTGCCTACTTCTTGCTGAACACAATGCAATGCAAAACGACCTCCTCGCTATTAGCTATACAGTACTGCCTCCCAGCTTCCTTCCTGCTTCTCTATCATACTACAGCTATCTTGCTTCTAATCTAAAAACTCTTTTAGAACCTATTCTTGCAAACTACAAAACTAGCTTATAGTATTTGCCGCCGCTAGTACAGTAACAGTTGCTCATACGGTAGCTCGAAGCCTTCAGAGTGCAAACGGCCGCAGACGCAACCAACATTGGAACTACCGGTACTGTAGTATCCCCACGCACGGGCACACAGCAACCGATAGCGGGTTCGGCAGGAACAAGCAAACAATCAAACAAGCCAAGCAAGGAAAGCACTCTTGGTTGCTTTTTGTCTGGCTGACTGTCTGACTCTGACTGTCTGCCCAAGTACTAGTAGACTAGCTAAGGAAGTAGAATACGAAGCAAACCAGCTCCTCGCTCGCTGCTCAGCTACTAGTACGGCACCTGTACACAGCCAAAGATGAAAGGTGCCTACGGTAGTGCGTAGCTAGCTAAAAAGTTGTGACTGGGAACCTACTCGAATCTGGCTACTGTACTAGCTAGCTACTGAGAACAACCATTCTATCCCTGAACAGTGGCCGAGCCAAGTCGAATCCTCGGCCTTTCATCATCCTATTTTAGTACAGTACTGTGCACTCTAGCTAGCTAGCTGCTGCTACGGGTACTACCGAGGGATCATTTGTTTGGTGTCAGCCATGGCTTGGCTGGCTGGTGGTCATCCCTGCACCTCTAGCCATTTCGCTTTTATGCATAACTGGCGACGTACAGTAGAACATAACCCGTTCGGGCGAAACAAAATCACCATATCTATCTAATAATAGGCCTAAGTTTACAACTTGGATAGCTAATTACAAGGCAAAACTGACAGCGGACGATAGATAGCTAGCTAGCTAGAGGAGGAGACCAGGCAATCAAATTCAAGTAAAAGTGAAGATCTACTACTGTCAAGAACACAGCCGTCGTTTCAACATGTACTAGTAGCTAGGCAGCTTGCTTCTTGGAAAGTTTGAGGCCCCCTCGACTCGACTCCGCATGAATGGCTCCCATCTCAACCCCAACCTTCTTCTTCCCCGGAATTAGTGTACTGCTCTCATCGAATGCTTCTCCTCAGCACTTGCTTGGTGGCTCGATGGCATGCGAGATACGATACGAAGTCGCTTCGACACTGACTGACTCTGTGGAAGCCATTGTGAACACAGTGGCTTGCCCAATTATGTCTCCGTGGATCCCGGAAAGCCAAGCCCTTTGGCCCCTGACCGGTCCTCAATTTAACCCCCTGATCCCACAGAACCCAGTCCTTAATTTCAACTCTTCTTTGCTCAAGCCTGGCCCTTGCTGGCTTCCTTAGATAATCATCCACCCACCCACTCTAGACCCCCAATGTTGTTAGGAACAGATCTGTGCCTTTTCGAAGAGTGCCGCGCCATCCGAGTTGATCACAGACTCTCCGACAGCGAGGCCCTGCAACTTGCCTACAGGCAGCTTCGATTTTATTGATTCAAACGCGCGCCACTCTTTTCAGTACACTTCTACACGAGCTCTCGTAGAACTGTAGCAGAAATGCCGGCACGCGTTTGAATCAACAAAATCGAAGCTGCTCGTAGCTAGCTACAGGCAGCTTCGTTTCTATTGATTCAAACGCGAGCCGACCTTCTTCGTACATTTCTACACTAGCACTCGTAGAAGTGTACCAGAAAAGCCGGCACGCGTTTGAATCAGAAAAATCGAAGCTGCTCGTAGAGATAGGTGTAGTCTCCAATAGGGGGGCCAATTTTGGAATATGGGGACCAATTTTGGAATGTGGGGACCAATTTTGGAATATGGGGACCAATTTTGGAACAATAAAATCGAAGCTGCTCGTACGGTGTCGATGCATCATCTAATTTCAATACAATTTTCCACAGTAGCACGCGTGCCTAAAGAAAGGGCCCGAAATCAGGATTTTAAGAATCCAATTAAATTAATCAATTCCAATCCAAAATATAAAACCGAAACCTAAATATAAAACCGAAACCTAAATATAAAACCGAAACCAAATTACTATGGTAAATAACTAGTAAAATCAAACCGAAACCTAAATATCAAACCGAAACCTAAATATAAAATCGAAACCTAAATATAAAATCGAAACCCAAATATAAAGCAGAATTACATGTAAATCCTGATTTCGGGCCCTTTCAAAGGACCAGGATTCCACTTTTAGGTCAAGTGGAGCTACTAGACTATAGCAAGATCATGTCAATATGGGTCTATAGAGGTTGTAAACCTCCCCTCCAGACTAGGATCCAGGCAAAGGCAATGGCCCTGGTTTTATACCAGAGAGGCCTGCTGCATGTATCACAGACAGCCTACTTCCATCCAATTACCCGGGGGAGGGAAGGGAAAAGGAAAATTGGTGCTGGGCGGCTGAACTTGGTTCAGAAAAAGTGAACGATTTGTAGCCGCCCGAATAGTAGTCCTTCTAGCTAGTCATCAACACCACATAGCACACCACCTGTCCACCCACACTTCGGTCCACCCCCTCATCCTTGGATGTGGCTCTCCCTGATTCCTGTCCGTCAGTCTCCCTTATGGTCGGCTCCCCGTTAACTCATACTCTCCGTTCTGTAGAATCTCTTCATTCCCATGTCTGGGAAGGTGCGCGATTCCACTTTTAGGTAAAGTGGAGCTACTAGACTAAAGCAAGATCATGTCAATATGGGTCTATAGAGGTTGAAACCTCCTCCCTCCACAGGATCCAGGCAAAGGCAATGGCCCTGGTTATACCAGAGAGGCCTGCTGCATGTATCACAGACAGACCTATTCCATCCATTTACCCTCCGTCGGAACCAGACCCTCATGACTGAACATAGATATAATCCCCCGAGTCGGCCGGCCAAGCCGGCCAATTACGCCCCCGACTGCCAGGGAGGTGGCGAGCCTTGCGTGTTGCTGCTGTTGTTGTGCTGTTGTTGTTGTGCGCGTTTATTTCCAACCGAACACCCCGGCTGTAGAGTAGCTGACTCATTTTTTCTTTTCTTTGCTTGTCTTTATTTTTATGTTTTATCTCCGTTTTTTTTTTTGTATCTTTTTGATTCTCATTGTTTTTTGTTGTTTTTTTTGTTTTATTTCGTATTATTTTTTTTTTTTTTTTTATTTTTTTTTTTTTTTCAAGCGGAAGCTCCGGGGTGTCGTCTGTTATACGTCGATTTTGATAACCCGCAGGCACCTTGGGTCCACTTGAATGGTCCCAGAACGCCCATCTGCCAGGGCGGGCTCCTTGGATGGTACCCTTTCGTCCGTTGTACTTGTCGATGCGGGAGATGATGATGCGGTCACCCTTCTTCCACTCGCTGTATGGTTTGACGAAGGCACGGGTCTTGCGGGGCTGAGCCGTTGTTGGTGCTGCGGATGGTGTTGGAGTGGGTGTTGCCGCCCGCAGTTTTGCTTCCAGCTCTAACTTGGCCACTCGTGCTTCCAGCTCTAACTTTGCCACTCGTGCCGTGAGGAAAGCCAGGTCGTCTTGCACGAGATGTACCGAGTCTGAGATGTCTTGGACCTGTTCGGTGAGTAGTTTCAAGTCGTCACAGGTATCTTACCATGTCTCTGAGTCGATCATGGTGGACTAGGTGTAGGTGTTGTGGAGATCGATTGCAGTTGTATTGGTCCGTTTTTAGTTAAGTGAGGACCGGCACTTGTTGTGACCGTAGGATTTGAATTGTCTGGGGCCACCCGTCCAGCCCGGTTGACGCGCGGGCAGTGGTTTTCTTTAAATAACTGGGATGCCAGTCGTGCCGTGTCAACGGTGGTTCTTTCGCTGATGACCGCCATTAATAATTTTGTCGCCGATATGAGCGGGCCAGCCGAGAGTTCTTTCGATGTGTACCAACGCGAACTCTCGGTGGGACAGCGTGATGAATAGTGGATCGATACTTCCATCTCTTGCCGTATCGAGTGGTACCTTTCCTGCTGTTGACACAAATGGATCACATCGAAACCCTCTCCCAGTGATGTCTTCCTCGTAACGAAACACTTTCGTTGAGTGGAGATGATGGAGTTTATGGCGTAGAGCAGGTTGTCAACGGTAGTCTTCACGGAGGTGCAAGCAGTAGTTGTTTTGGTGCTCACAAAAAATGACGAAGCAGCCCAAAGTGCAGTTGCTACTCGAAAGTCCCACTGGTTTCCTAGCTGAAGTTGTTGGCAACGCCTTCCTTGAAAGTTTGCCCCCTGAAGAACGTGCTGCCATGAACGTTGCGCAGCCTCCTACCGAAGATGCTGCTCCTGAAGCTTCCGCCGCCCCTTCGGGCAACAATTCCACGGCCGTCTCTGATAGCTCCAACCTTGAGGATATGGAAGAGGAAGACGCCGACGATGATGACAACCCGCCGCCACTTGCCGCCCCCGGGTTCCATCCCTGTTGGGAGTCCGATGATGAAGAAGAGGAGGAGGATGATGATGTGGTTCCGACGAGGACTTCGAGGAAGAAGCGTCGGACGAAGACGAGGAGCCCGTGGTGGTGGGCGTGAAGTCTCCTCCCCCAGAAGTGCCCGTTCCCGTCCGTCGGGCCACCGTGGCGTCATCTACGTTGACGTCTCCAGCTGTTCCTGCCGCGGCTGGTCTGGCTCCTCGCATGGTACAGACGGCTCGACGCCGTGGGAATCAGCTTCCCCCTCAGGTTCCCTTGCTGCAGTCTCCTCCTCCTGCAACTGTCTCGACTCCGGAGGGTCCCACGCCTGAAACCTCCAACGTGGCAGGCCCCACTCCTGGTGTTCCCGCGGTCGCTGCTGCTCCGCGCAAGGCCAAGAGTGGTTCTACCAAGAAACACAGGGGGTGCCAAGCAGCAGGACCCACGGGCGTGGAGACAGGCTTGGTCTTAGCGGCAGGTTTGCGTGGCTCGGTCACTGCCACTTCTACACCTTTGGGAGCCGGCTTGGCCTTGGGAGCTTTCACTTTCTTGCCCCCGACTGAGCTTTACGCACCAGCTTCGCCTT